GGACCCCTCAGCCATTGGTTCATAGTTCATGTGTTTCCATTCATTTGGCTATTTGTCCCTGTGCTTTATCCAACCTTGGTCTCAACAATTCTCGGTCATATAAACCCTCCTCATTCTCGTTAATTGGACTCCCAGAGATCCACCCAGGGCCTAGTCATGGATCTCTGCATCCAGATCCCTCAGTAGTTGGATGAGGTTTCGACATGAAACAAGGATGAATTGTCTGCTACTCACATCACCAGGGAGGCTACCCGGAAAACAGGACCCCAAGAAAGACACAGGGATCGCCCAATGACAGAGAAATGGAATAAGATCTACATGAACAGCCTGGACATGAGTGGGGGTAATGAAAGGCGAGGGTCGAGGGAAAGAGAGCTTGGGGGAGCGGGAGATCCCAGCTGGATCAACAACAGAGAGGGAGAACAAGGAATAGGAGACCATGGTAAATAAAGACCACATGAGAACAGGAAGAAGCAAAGTGCTAGAGAGGCCCACAGAAATCCACAAAGATACCCACACAACAGACTGCCGGCAATGGTCGAGAGACAGCCCGAACTGACCTACTCTGGTGATGGGATGGCCAAACACCCTAATTGTTGTGCTAGAAACCTCATCCAACTACTGAAGTGCCTACTTTTTAAGCTTTGCTAAACAGAGGCATGACATGTCGAGGGTCCAAGGAAATGAATTAACTGTGTCTCACGTTAAGTAATCTGGTGAAAAATTACCTCTCTAGCTAAGGCTTGTGTTTTTGCTGTAGTGTCTTGAAGGCAGGGGTAGTTTGAATTGCCTGGAATGAAGAACTGTCTCAGTATTTTAAACGCTGTTAACTTTCCTAAGGGGGCAACCGTCTCAGACCTGGGACAGGTTTCTGAGAGTCAGGAGTGACTCTCCGAGAATTGGATTTTCAGGTCCTGATGTCTCTGGCAGGGGTGGCTCTATCTGAACAGTAAGTGATTGTTGGGTAACTTGAGTAAGACCAAAGTGAAAGGAAAAACCACGTCAAAGAAGTATCTAAAACAAAAGCCCTTTCAGTTCTGGGATTCAGACGTTCACGTTGCACTAAACCAACGCTGCTTATTTGCATAGAGAAGGCACTGACAGCCGCCATTTGGAATCCAGGAAGAACTGCACTTTCACGGACAGGCCAGCCACCATCTAAAGATGTCTAGTACTCACTGTTGCGCCTACAGCCCATCCAGAAAGGGAGGGGCAACTCTTTTCTTGTTCTCTGCCATTATTCTGATCTTGGACTCTATGAGGGCCAAGGCTGCAGTTACAGTAGCATAGCAAACAGAGAAAGGAGATATTCTAGGAAGGAGCTGTGCCAGCGGAAAGTCTGCCAACAGCACCTCCCTTGTTCTTAAGTAGGTGTAAGCCAGACCTCAGTATGAATGTGGAGACTACAGGAAGGTCATATTAACCCTCATGTTGACCTTAAGAAATGAATCCATCATGAGTGTAACAAGGGGCATTGTTGGCATCCCGAGGGTGCTGGAGCCCCATGAACAATAAACTGCGTTTAGTGTGTGTGTGTGTGGGGGGGTGGGTGGATTTGTGGTCATGAGCATTCTCTGGAAACACAGTGACTAGACCCTTGCAACTGAAGAATGACTATCAGGGAAATTCCAGGCTTCCATGTGTGAGGATGGGGGAATCCCTCATCTTCCCAGAGATGTGTGGACATGGTGGGGTATTCCTATTATAAGAGGACTTCCCTTCCCTGTCCAATAGGCACAAGAATCCTTCAGCAGGCTCAGAGATAAGTGCCCTGTAGAGTGAGTCATTGACAGGTTCTGCCTTGCATCATGTCTTCAAAATCCAGCTTGGCCTTCCGACCAACAGAATATCTTGTTTTACCTGTAGAGATTATGCCGTAGGTGGGAAAGGGCCACCTGGCTTCAACCCCTTTGTTCCTGGTTTCTAGCAGGGATCTGAGGTGCCTGACTTCATAATTGATGTACATTCTATAGTTGGATTTTCACACATTGCCTGTGTGTTTAGTTATTTTGTCTCATTAAAAAAAGGCAGGAAGTCAGGTCATTTTTTAAAAAAACTGGCTTGTGGAAATTTCCTACATCTTATACACAATTTCCATGGGGCTTCTTGCTCAGTTTTGTGTCTGGCCTTCTAGCCAGGGAAGAAAAGTGCTCAGCTGGGCCCAGAAGAGAAGTTTTAATGCTGACCTTAAATATGTCATTCACTCAGGGGCTTGTCGGAAAATATACTGAAAACACCAATTTTAAAAACTTTGAATTTAGATATGAACAGTCTTCTGAATTTTGTGTCTTGTTTGGGAGAGAAAGCAATGTGTAAGAACGTTGATCAGGACTGAGGTTAATTTCTGGAGGGAGAGCTAGTCTCAGGCTATGGCCTTTCTCCTCCCATCCTTGGGAGACGCCCCAACCAGGACAGCCCCACACTAGTTACAAAAGGGCAAAAAAAAAAAAAAAAAAAAAAAAAAAAAAAAAAAAAAAAAAAAAAAAAAAGAAGAAGAGACCAAGGGCCATCAGACATGAGTTCAATAGTTGATTCAGCTTCTATCTAAGGATTTTATATTCAGAACGTTGGTTCATTATTTCTCCTCCTCCTGCTTCTCCTCTTCTTCCTCATCACACTGGGTATGCCCCTCACCTCTGACACCTGGGGCTTCTTAGCTGGGTTCAGTCAGTAGCACTGCTCATCTGTCACCCAGCTAAATTTACACTGTGCTCCATGCTTTTCAGTTAGATAGGCAACATTTATCCACATTCAACATTTGGGAGCCTGGGGGTTCCAGAAGAATGAAGAGAAGCTCACTACATTTAAAAATATGTGTATGAGGTAAGGATTTAAATCCAAGTGCATGATTGCTGGAGCAAATCATGACCTACTAAGAAGAAAACCACCTTGAAGGATTCATATACTTTGAAAACGCTACCAATTACAGGTAAGTTTAGCAAAGTGGACCACATAGCATTCTGAAAGAATATTCAACTAGTGCACATCCCAGGAAATTAAAACAATATCATAGAACTCCATATCCTTGAAGATATCCTGTAGACTTTTATTTATTTTATTTTATTTGTTTTTTTCGAGACAGGGTTTCTCTGTGTAGTTTTGCTCCTTTCCTGGAACTTGCTTTGGAGACCAGGCTGGCCTCGAACTCACAGAGATCCACCTGCCTCTGCCTCCCGAGTGCTGGGATTAAAGGCGTGCACCACCACCACCCTGAAATCCTGTAGACTTTTAAAAATGTGACATTATGTTTCTTTTTGCCAAGAAATTTAACCAGATGTCACAAAGTTAGGAGGCTTGGAATGACTATGTGGCTCATGAATTTTTGACAACCGTCTGAGGACTTCTAGGGTTTGGTATGATGTTCCTACATGTGGGTCTGTTCAGGTGTGTGTGTGTGTGTGTGTGTGTCTGTGTCTGTGTCTGTGTATCTGTCTGTCTGTGTTTATATGTGTTGGTGAGTGCATGGATACATAAATCTGCATGCTATGATAAATTTTTAGTGTCAAAAGAACTTAAGGAAGCAGGGTAGGGAAATAAACAAGGTCCGTAGACCTAGCAAAGGGTGATGAACCTTGGAACATAAGAAGCTTCACAGTGTGGAAAACTGAAGGAGGAGTAGGGGCCAGGATAACACATCACAAATAGATAATTTGCAAAATAAAAATTGGAAGCCAGGAGCACAGAGTTTCTGAGATAGAAAGTTATTTCTCCATTTGCATACTGTTTTTCATTTTCTGTTAGTGGGTAAATAATACCTTCAGATTTGTGTCTTAGAACAAAAACAATCTGTATTTTTTCTTGACTTCTCAAACAACAGCAACAAAATCCAATACAATTCAGCTGGTGTCTAGAGCACAGCTATGCTTTGGGTTACCTTGGGCTTTGGCTAATAGAACCTTCCAACATACACAACATGTTTCTGCTTTGTCTCTATTTAATCTTTGGTGCTCTAAGAGGAGAATATGCTTTAAAAAATTCTATAATGATTGGTATTTCACACTTCTGCAGCTAATTTTAGGTATTAATATCTGATCCCCCTAATTGCACTTTCTCTGTAGTTCTTCTAATGGATGTGAAGTGGTTCATGTGTACAGCTGTGTGGAACACCAGGAGCCCACTGGGACCAAGGAGCAATGAGGTCATGGACACAAAACTCTCTTCTTTATAGAGTAGCCAGGTTTAGATATTTTGTTATAGTAATATGCAACAGACTAATTCAGTCTTATTTCTTTTAATTAGAACTGTAGTCTAGTATAATTGTTACAACTATATGGAGCTGTTGAATACTTAAAATATGGCTAGTATAATAGATATAAATCTAAAATATAAATAGATATAAATGTAAAATATAAATGCAATATGCACATCAAATCCTGAAGATCTAGCGTGAAGTAATAAATGATAGATATCTTGATATATTTTAAACTTTGACTACATGTTGAAATATTTTGAGTATAATTTAATTAAATGAGATATACTATTGTATAACACAAATTGCTAAATGGTCTTATTAATAAAAAACCTGGGGCTAGACATTGGGGTGAAAGCTGAAAATCAGAGAGTAAGCCAACCACAAGTTCTTACCTCTACGAGATCCTCAGTCTCAAGAAAGTGAGTTCCTATTTCCTCACACCTTATATACCTTTCTGTGTCCTGCCACATTACTTCCTAGGATTAAAGGCAAACATATGAGATCTCAAGTCCTGGGATTAAAGGTGTGTGCCACCACTGCCTAGCTCTGTTTCCAGTGTGGCCTTGAACTCACAGAGATCCGACAAATCTCTGTCTCTCGAGTGATAGGATTAAGGGTGTGTGCCACCACTGTCTGGCCTCTATGGCTAATCTAGTGGCTGGCTCTGTCCTCTGATCCCCAGATAAGTTTATTAGGGTATACAATATATTGGGGTACACAATATATCACCACACTGTTGAAATTCATTTCAGTTCATTTATTTTTAATAGAATCTCCAGAAGATTAAAAATTACACCATATCTCTCTTGAGTATGGCTGTTTCTAGAATATGCCTCCCCTATTTTCCTCCATGACCATAAGACTATGGAGTGCTCATGAAAGTTGCATTTATTGGGTGGAGAAGGGTGAGAAAAAGCCCCAAGGAAGGGTCATTTCCAGGAAGGGCCTGGATGGAATGTTCTGGTAGGTAACTCTGCATGGCCTCTGCAGCAGGGGCTGTAAAATCCCCTGTGTTGTGGTTTCCTCAGGGTAGGCCAGTCCATTGCCTTGACTTTGTTGAGACTTCCTTCCTACAGACATGAAAAGAAGAACTGTTTGTCACTGTAGTGTCTGAGACTCATTTTCACTTTCATGTAATAGCTTGACTTTTCTTCCACAGCCACCCTAGTGCATCCCCCTCTGTGTGAGTGTGTGTGTATGTGTGTATGTGTGTCTGTGTCTGAGACAGTCTTGTGTAGACAGGATGACCTTGAACTTGCTATGAAGTTGAGGAAGACCCTGAACGCCTTATCTTCCTGCTTCCTCCCCAGTGTTGGTACAGGCAATATCCTTGACTCCTTTTCAGTTTTATTTTGTTTTTTTAATCTCTTTCTGTGCTTGCTCACTTCTAGATTCCTTCTCTCAGTCTGTATTTTGGGAGTACCAAAGTTCCTGAGTGCTGTCCTAACCATATCTCCAGATCCCCTGCACATCAAGGTCCGAAACGATAAAGGCAGTATTTCAGACCCCTGCTTGTCACCTTTGACTCAGTCCCACCCCCACCAACCTACAGGTGAGATTGCAGGTCACCCTTCCAGGACCTTTATAAATTCCAGCCCATCTCCCTTCCAGGACCTTCCTATAATGCTTCACTAGGATTTTATTTTTGAAAATGTTTCCGTCTTATTACAAAAGTTACTGTGTGTTCATTTGACTAAAGGCAGAAAATATAGTTAAGGAAAAGTCATTCTTAGTGCTATCCTAGTCATTAACAATGGGGCAGGTTGGCTGTTTCCAGAATGAATGTCTTACCTTTTGGATGAGTTTCCTCAGTGTGATAACCTGGTACCCCAAATTGCATGACTTAAAGCAATACAAATGTGTTACTTTGCTGATCCAGAGCTTGGAAACTGAAATGTGCATTGTAGAACAAGGATCAAGACAGCCAACAGTGCTCCCCACCAGTGACTGCAGGAGAAAAATAGTGCTCCCCACCAGTGATTACAGAAGAGAAGCAGTGCTCCCCACCAGTGACTGCAGGTGAGGGAAACAGATTGTTTGACCCTTTCGGCCACCAGCATTCCTTGGAGTAAAGGAAGGAAGCTGCCAGCATCTTGTGGCTATTGTTCCTTCTTCCAGCTCCATAAGTAGACTCCAACTTCTACCTCTGTGGTCATATAACCTATCATATATCACTTTTGGAGAGCTGTTATCTGTCTATCATATCTTTCCAACCCCAAGACACATTCCCTTATTGGTTATGTAATACCAAGTAGAGGTATTTACACTCATACAAGTGCTTAGTATTGCAAAGTGAAGAACGGTAAGAAGTTTTTTTTTTTTTTTTTTTTTTTTTTTTTTGTTGTTGTTTTGTTTTCTTGCTGTTGTTTTTCAGGTGAAAGAGGAAAACAAAACCAGAGAAGAAGAAGATCCCTTCTTGCTGACCAACAGGATTTGATGCCTGTTAGATAGAAGTTGATGGCCAGAAATGGAAGAAACCATTCAAAGAAGCAGATGAGACTCTGGATACATTCATGAACAGTTCAGGATCAGAAAAAAAGAATGTGGCTCAGAGTCACCAGTGAAGAATCCTGCAGTTCTGGTGTACCAGAAATGGAGACAGGGAGGTGGCAGCACTATAGCATGGAGATATTTATTCATACAGCAGCAGCAGCAGCAGCAGCAGCAGCAGCAGCAGCAGGAGCAGCAGCAGCAGCAACAGGAGCAGGAGCAGGAGCAGCAGCAGCAGCAGGAGCAGGAGCAGGAGCAGGAGCAGCAGCAGCAGCAGCAGCAGGAGCAGGAGCAGCAGCAGCAGGAGCAGCAGCAGCAGCAGCAGCAGGAGCAGGAGCAGGAGCAGCAGCAGCAGGAGCAGCAGCAGCAGCAGCAGGAGCAGGAGCAGCAGCAGCTATAACAGCAGCAGCAGCAGGAGATATCATGCAGGAAAGAGAGATGGCAGATGAGAAAAGGGCCACCAGGCCAATGCCACAGGCCAGCTGCTGACCATTGTGGACAGGCTGATGCCCCAGTTAGACACTCCAAGAATGCCCTTCAATGCCATAGATGGAAACAATTAGCCACAGAACAAATGTGTATGTGTTGTGTTCCACTTAGCAATCTATTGTGAACATTTTCCCAAGTAAGCGCCCGGTCTTCCATGCTATCTGGGATTTCACAGTGTTCCATGTCTGGGAACATGGTGCTTGTTCAGCCACTTCTCTTTCTTGCCTATGATTCCTATTTCCTTCTCTACTGTAAAGTGCAGCGGGATGATGCTCTTGAAGCTTTCATAGATCTAGTGTGATTTTCTTAGGAGAACTTACTGGAAGTGTGCAGGATTCATTCTGAGGAAGGGAAGACAACACTGGTGACCTTTAGATTTCTCTCTAGGCAGAAAACCTGGGAATGTATGAGTCAGAGGTGGACTCATTCTGGTAGAGTGGAGCTGGCCCATTTGTTTCTGTCTCCCCACCCTCTCTGCCCAGTGCCTCTGGGGAACCTTCCCATGTCATAGGGCCACGCTTTATAAACTTCAGGACCAGCTGACCCTACATTCTATTCTGCTGGTTTGCTTGCTCTTAGTTGTTCTGATTGAACCTTAGACTGTCTGGCCGCATCTGGCTGCTGGGTCTTTTGTAGATCGTTATCTCTGGGTCCTCACTGCACCTCCTTCCTGAGTGGTCAGTAGGTACTTGCTATTTTCGGAGAGCAGCCATTGCATAACACATCAGAAGAAGGCAGGATCCTGCAGATAGAGTTGAAAGGGAAGAATGGACCACACCTTGTTGAAGGAGATGGGTCTGAGCCTGTACGAAGCTGATGGATTTGGAGAATTTCCATGACTCAGGGGTTGGGAAACAGACAGTAAATTATGTTTAAATGCCATTTTAATATATAAGTGATTTTGAAAGTAAAATTAGTTACTTTTCTCATCACGGTAATAAAAATATCTTGCAAAAGTAACTTAAGGGAGTTTTATTTTGATTTCAGTCCATCATGGCAGGAAAGCCAATGTAGCAGGAGCTTCAGGCAGCTGATCACATCACACTCACATTCATAAAGTAGAGAGAAAGATCAACACTGGTCCTCAACTCATTTTCTCAGTCCAAGATCTCAGCCCAGGCAATGGCACTGCTCACATTTAGGGTGAGCTTTCTCACATCAGTTAACCCAGTCTATAGACTTCCTCCCAGATACGCCCAGATATTTATTGGTCTCCTAGATGACTCTAGACCCGTGGTTCTCAACCTTCCTAAAGCTGTGACCCCAACCATAAAATTATTTTGTTTTGTAATTTTCTACGGTTATGAATCATAATGTAAGTACTTGATATGCAGACCTGAAAGCATCCCGACTCACACTGAGAACCACTGCTTTAGACCCTTTCAAGTTGAGAGTCAATATCAACTGTCACAAAAAACCAAGCTTCTGTTTGTGGACATGAGAGATAGGATCCAGAGAAGGCAAAACACTCACCATTGGTCGCACAGCAACTGGTGACATAATCACATACCACACAATCTTAGACAGATATTCTGCGCTTTGACAATTTTTTTACTCTTTTTCATTTTCTATGGTGGAGAAAGAAGAAGAAATAACTAACATTCAAAACAGTGACTGTGTGCAGACAATGAGCAAGATGTCTTTCTTATTCTTTTTTTTTTAAACTTCTGTCAGCATCGAGCACTCTTTTCCGTGTGGACTTTTCTGCAGAGGTTCAGTCCTGGGTCCAGGAGAACTTGCAATGATCACAGTCAGCACTGATTTCACTCCAGTGTTTCCCAGACTGACTATTTTACTAACCTTTCTAATGTCAGATGGCAGAGACATCTAGGAAGAAATTTCCAGACTAGATAAAGTAAATGATGACGAACAAGATGCAGACCCTGTTAACAGTCAAGGTTCTGCATGGCTTGGTAGCGAATCAATTCTGTTTAAAAGCATCACTGCCCAAACCTGCCCAGAGTGTGTCCTGGAAGGTGTTTTCTTGGTGTTAAAGTTGGTGCTGCATAAATAGTTGAGACATAAAGAGAAACCCTCTTTTCCCAGACTCCCCTGGGGAAGACCATCTGGGTCTGCTAGTGTTCTGTGACTGGGAATCCTTTTGCAGGAATATGACTCTGGCTGGCATAATGTAGGTGTGGGGACATGACCTTAGAAGGGGCATGAAAACTGGGGATAGGCACATAGTCCTCTGAGTTTGAACACCAGCACTCTCCATCTAAAACAAATGTATCTGGAGATACCTCTGACTCAGGGGCAAGAGAGTTAAACTCTTGAGAGTTCATAACATTGTAGATTGGGGTTCATAGGTCAGAGATAGAGGAAGACTTTAGGGAAAGGACTGAGTTTTCTCATGGGATTGGTCTTCTTTGGTACAATGGTTTCTTGACTCGTAAAGTCTATGGAGATGTAGTATGGAGGCCTCTGAGATCCTGGGGCAGCATTTAAAGTCTCCCAGAGGTGAGCGTGTCAGGGCCTCTGCTTTGCTTCCCCATTCCTCTAGCTGGCAGGGTGCACAGTCGTGTTTCTTTGCCCAAGTCTTATGAAAACTACAAACTACTGCAGAGCTGGGACAGGCTGTCCTACCACCTCCCCAGTCGCGGTAGCACAAGGTCCAGACCATGTGGATTTCCCAAGGGTGCTCAATCCATGGTCTCCTTGTTCAGCCCATTAGTCACTTCTGGTCATAGAGAGATGAGGGAGAGAGTGGTTGGATGGGGACCAGAAGAAGAGGAAAGTCTCCTCACCGATGAAAGATAGTTGTGCAGAAAGACTTCCCTCTCTCGGGGTCTTTCTTCCAGTCTGCCACCAAGGCCATCACTGCTGTTAGCCCATGTTCTTATTTATTTGTGGGCTAATTTTCTACAGCCGCAGATGCATACATTTCTTGATATTAGTGAAGGAATGGAACATCTGATTTGCATTTCAGAATTCCCAGAAAATCAGAGAGAACCAATGAATGAAAGTAGGGCTTTGAAGGGAACCAATGAATGAGAGTAGGGCTTTGAAATAAGTAAAACTGAGTTTGAATGTATATTCTGCCTGGATTAAGTTACTCATCCCACTCATGGCTCAGTGTTCTTAACTGAAATGGGTATAATAATGGTATGTACTATACAGAACCCAATTAAATTACATAATTTATATAAAGTAACTAATATTATGACTCCTCAAAATACAAGTTGCTATCATTCTCACATGCCAGGTGATGGTATAGGCCATTTTTACCCATTTATGTGTTCATCACAAGAATTTTATATGGTGATATAGACATGCTTAGCTGGCACACAACTTATTAGGACAGTTTTGTTTTTTTAGGAAGCTGTTGTTCTCCCCCATCACCTTGTCCTCAGGAAAGGTGATCCTGTCCTTAGTTCAAGGATAAGGTCGGAATGGTCTTTTTTACCCATCATGACACCTGTTTCAAGCGATTAGTTCAGAAGTGATCAAGTGACATGGGCAGTTCTTGTCAGAGAGAGAGGAAGGGAAGGACGGTTGGTAGAAGAAGATGAAGGTTTTCCCATTGAGGAAGAGAGATTTCCCTCTCTCTACCTTTTGGGGACCTGACATTAACCTGCAATTGCAATAGTTATGAAAGAAGCAAACCCAGAGGGCGGAGGCTAGAACCTAGCAAAGCAGAGGCAGGCTGGCTGCTTGGCACACCTGTGGCCATGCCTGGGCATCTCCTGCTACGTGTGACGGAACTTCCCATGATACAGCTCTTGAGTCATGATTTTTCTGGGACTTCAGCTGAGGAAAGTTATAACCCAGATAGTTTAGTTCTGTATCTTGCTTCCCATGTCCCAGAAGAACAACTCAGCCTCAAAGGAATTTTCATTATTTATTCCAACTCACACAGGTAGCAAGTGGCCAGCAGGTCAGTCTTAGGAACCCCCTGTGGATTCCAGCACCCGGGGCATCATAGCTTGAATGTTTGTCATTTAATTAAGTAGACAGCTTCTTGGAGACCCACAATGAGAACTGAGCTGCATTGCCTCCAGGTAGTCTAATGGCTCATACTCAAGGTGTACTGCAATATGACATGCTTCAGCAGTTTAATGATGTTCCCACCGAGGGCTCATAGTAAGTCTCATGGGTTTCTAAACAGCAAGAAGGTAATTCTCTAAAGCGAATCTCATTTCTAGGGCACACTTTACCATACTCGGTTCTGTGGTGAGTGTTGCTTGCATTATTTTATTGAGATAACAGATTTGGGCTGGATAGATAGCGTTTCTTTAAAATTTATTTTTATTAATTCTTTGCAAATTTTATACATTGTATTTTGATCATATCCATCCTTTCCCCCAAACTCCTCCCAGATTCATCCCCTTCCCATTCCTTATCACCCTACTTTATATCCCTACAACAACAATAATATACTTAACTGGGGGATCTGGGAGGAAAGGCTGGGGGGTGGAGTACATAGATTAAATCAGTTTGGGGAGATGGCTCAACTTTTTCTTCCCTGAGGGGGCCCTGGTTTTAAAGGTAACTCTCTTGATTTTTGTCTAAGGAAACCATATTAAAACATTCCTTTGACTCTGTTGGAGGCTAAAGTTAGGGCTCAGAAGTCTTCGTCCCAAGACTGGTGTGTCACCATGCTGACAGACCTCAGCTCCAATCCCAAAATGAAAATGTGGTGATACATTGTGTACCCCAATAAAGCTTGCCTGGGGATCAGAGGACAAAGCCAGCCACTAAATTAGACATAGAGGTCAGGCAGTGGTGGCACACACCTTTAATCCTAGCATTCGGGAGGCAGGGATTCATCTGGATCTCTGTGCGTTCAAGGCCACACTGGGGACAGAGCCAGGCATGGTGGCACATGCCTTTAATCCCAGCACTAGGAAGGAAGTGAGATGGCAGGGCACAGAAAGGTATATAAGGTGTGAGTAAATAGGAAGTCTCTCTCTTGAAGCTAAGGATTTCATAGAAGTAAGAACGTGGCTGGCTTGTTCAGTTTCTCTGATCTTTCAGCTTACACCCTAATATCTGGCTCTGGAGTTTTTATTAATAAGACCACTTAGCAATTCATGTTACAGAATATCTCTCTTACCTTCCCTTATTTTTCTCAGTGCAGGCAGAGGTGTTCTACACATCTTCATCTGTTCAAAGTCTGGACACCAAAGGAAGAAAACACTGAGCTGTGGTCCCTTTGGAAAACACTGAGCTCTGGTCCCTTTGGAAAACACTGAGCTGTGGTCCCTTTACAAAACACTGAGCTCTGGTCCTTTTGGAAAACACTGAGCTCTGGTCCCTTTGGAAAACATCCAAGCTCCTACCTTAGGAATGAAGACCAAAGCCTCCCGTCGGCACAGCTGGACAGACTTTTGTCGCTGTCATTGCTCTACGTTTCAATCCCACAGATAATTACTTACAAACTATAGTGTGTTCTGCTGGCCAAACAGACTGCTTCTGGCTGTTGCACGATCAGAACCCAAGGAAAGCTGGAATCGTATGTAGCTCAGTGGTAGAGTGTGTGTTTAACATGTACAGGGTGCTGGGTTCGATCCCAGCACAAATGAAACACTCAAACAAAAATCTCCAAATCCACAAATGTTTCCTGAAAATCACCTACATGCCTTAAAATTGTCCACATTCTCTACCCTTCCCGCTCTTTGCAGAGAAAGAAACACAAAGTTTCTGAAGGCACTGGGCATGTGACTTATCTCACTGCTGTGATTTTCCAATGCTATTCTCCCCTTTTGCATGTTAATAGATTTGCATGCCTTTCTTCTGGTTTCATCTTTACCAGTTTGTCCCAGCAAACCTTCAAAGGGCAGAGAGCAGTCCCTTTAGTCACTACACTAATTTAGAGTAAATTCCTTAGGATGACATAGTTCATAGTCACAGACGCATGGCT